TAATTATCTCTTCCAAGGTACCAACACTGGCTTCAAGATAATATCTAAAATCCTTGGCAAGAAATTCAAAGCTTTGCAGGATCTGGTCCTGCCTTCCAGCTGCTCCCAACCTGGAATTCTGATATTCCAAGAGCCTCAAACCAACTTTAATAACTGGTAACACATCTCAGGCTGTTACTTCTGTCTAAGATGGTTTCTCCTCCACTCCCCTTAAACCAGGGAACTTCTTAGAATTATTTCTTTTTACAAAACCTTTCCATTCCTTTATCACAGCACCCAACACAGGATTTCACATATTTATTTAACTGTATTATCTCCTCTACTCAGGGGCAAACTGTTGCAGGGCAGGAACTCAGTCTTATGTTACAGCCAGTTGCTGACTGCATATAGTATGCAGAAACAGGTGAAATTTGCTAATTACCCCTAGAGTGGCATAGCCAAAACAGATCTGAACAATATATTTAAGAACATGGAAGAAAATGTGTCCACAATAAAGATGTGTGTTTAAAAACTGATGTCTTGAATAGTCATTTTTCTTCAACATTTAGTCTACAGACTTTTTGTAGGGAAAAAAATTTTTGAGGCTTACAGATTTCTAGGAAATGTAAACTGAATCAATTACTTTACTTACAGAAGATGAATATTAAACAAGGCAATGCTTTCATAACAACTGGTACAAAAATATTTTTTGCTTATTTCAAACAGGCATATGGGGAGGAAGGGGAGGTTAAGAGGATAGTGGGAGAAATGAATCTCAAAATGAGAGCTATTTAAAGTCAGCATACATCAGCACCAACCAAATTAAAACAACATTAAGCCACATCAAACTTAACAAGTGAATACAAGTTAGCAATAAACTTTTAGTTCAACTGCAACTTTTCTACTTGAATGTGTAACAGTAAATGTGCTTGTGACTTCTGTTTCTGGTAAAAAAAAAAAAAAAAGCCACCTCGCTCCCTAGAAAACAAACTCCCTTCTTTTGGACTAGACTCCAGATTATTTCCATAATACAGAAAACCTTAGCTGCAGTTTGAATTAGAGGAAAAACTACAGAACCAAAAGACAACAAAATGTTCTCAATTTATAATCCCTAAGTCAAAACAAAGTGTGGGAAATCCAGGACACTCTTGTGGATAAGGGAAATCAGGAAGAACTAAAATGGCATTTTCTAGATTCCCACAAGACTTTTTGATGTAAAATGGTGGAATCAGAACTGGCTAGGGAACCCAGAGCTGACTGCAGTGTCTTCACAGAACCAGTTACTAAAGGTGGGGGAGGGGCCAAAGACACTCCTTTCCACCCAATGTTCTGAGCCCAGCAAGGTAACTATCTGCACCCTCAGTCTTGTCTTCTGTAAAATTCTACTTCCCATAGTTGTAACGGCAACAACAGCCAATAATCACCAAGCACATAACTTGCTTAATTATTTACAACCCTATGAACTAGGCATTACTGCTACTTTGCAGATGAGATAAACACCACCACAAAGTGACATATTTAGGGCAATTGGGGCTTTGGAATTTAGGCATTTTTAACCCCAGTCTTCTGAACAACTAACCTAGTAACTCAACAAACGTGTTCCCTTCCTTCTCAACCAATTATATTCCTAGCTTAAGGGGAAAAAATGTATTTTTAAAGCAACCTACTAGGTGTGTGGCACAGTAAATTAGTGTCCTCACAACAGCTTAAGTTCGTTTAGATTTCAGAAAAGTTTAAGCTGTCCCCAGTGAAAAGTTTATTTTACATTTTAAAAAAAATCATTCTCAAATTGCTTTTCTGACACAAAACTGCCTGAGTTTAAGCCCCATGAGCCAGGTTTTCTAGGGGTCTGATTCCAACTTTAGAGGAAAAATGACCATCCAGGCTCCAGATCTGTAGAATCAAGGGGACTGTACAACAGTCCTGAACAGTGTGGCTTAGTGGTTGGGCGTCCTCCAGCAAAGCGAGATCACTGGTTCCGTTCCCAGTCAGGCCACATGCCTGGGTTGCTGGGCACCTGTCGGACCACAGGTGAGACGTTTGTCTCTCACGTGATTTTTCTCTCCCTCCCTTCCCCTCTCTAAAAAGAAATAAATAAAATAAAGTCCTAAAAAAACAACAACTGTGCAACAGCAGCCTTGAGGTTCTAGAATATACCACCAATTGAACTTTTTATCTCCAACCTCCTGCAAAATTAAGGCAAAGAGGGAGGGCAGCAGAGACCTTGTCTGTGTGACTTTCCCACTCAACTCACTCACCTTGATACACCAAATCTCCATTGGGCATTATCATCTAATATTCAAAACACCTGCTATTTACTAGTTTTATTATGGTCTGTATATTGTATTTGAAATCTCAGGATATTGAAATTCTAGCCAGAGCTTGGCTATAAAATACTAATTAAGAAAAAATAAACAAAGAATTTCACTGTTTGCAAAGCACTTCATATTAATTTTAGACACACGACCGAAAGAAATAACTGCCCAAAGGAAGCCACTGAGTTATTAAATACGAAGTTTTTCATTTTCTTGACATGCCCTTCAGAAATGTACTGTTACTGATATTGTTTGTCTTTACATATTTGTAATTTAGTTAACCAAAACTTGGGGGAAATGTGTGTATTTAATAACAAAACAATGAAAAACAGAGAATGGATTTCAATTTGTACATTTTTTGTGCGTGGGCGTGGCATGTCAGGATATTTCTGGGTAATGACCACCTTTAGATTCTAACACTTAAACGTGACCTAAATGCAGAAATCAGTAAAGAGGCAACAGACATGTACTGCTTATCACATGTCTAGACTGCAGGCAAACCCCAAATACCAAAGAAGCATCCATGTGTCAAACCAGCATAATTTTGAGCTATGCCTGGGGCCACATACCAAAAAAGTCAGCTTGAAAAGAAAACCTAAAAGGGGTAACAAGAAGGTCAACCCCAATTCACAGGAACTAGGAAGGCGCAAGCAAGGAGAGAACATAGCTAGCCATTACTTTGCAGTCATTCCACTGAGCAGCTTCCTCCCCAGCCCCCATAGAAAATCTCCAAGGCCCAGCTCCTCGTTTGCATGCTTCTTCAAGGTCATCCTAAGATAACGCAGTGAGCAATCACCAAACATTGAGCCAAGCATACCTTTAGGGCCAAGAAATATCCCTCCTCCCCAAATCACTACATCAATATTTTAAATGCCATTAGGCTTTCTCCAACTTCACCAGAAACAAATTTCCATAATTTCATTTAGACTGAGCAACTAATAAATAAACGTGTTTGGTTTTGCAACATAAATTATTAAAAGGCTTTTCAAGTCTGGTGAATTCCAGTTCAAAAACAGGTGCTTGTTGACAAGGTCAAATTCATTTTCCTTTAATTATTAAAAGAAAAGGGGGAGAAAAGTTTTCTTAATCTTCCTTAGGACCTGAGGCGTTGGGTGGGAAGGATCGCTGGGGTAAAACTGTCTTGCACAGGGTCCATGTTTGGCTAAATAGTAATTCCTAATCTAGCAATAGCAGGTTAGAGAAAAAAATAAAAACAAAGAAACCTACGTGGGCCATAGTTACCAGAACTCTGCACAGCCTACCACCCAAAGAAACCAGCCCCCACGCCACGCAACCAAAACAAACCGCGCCCCTCCCGGTTCCCCCTGCCACACGCAAACACACAAAGAAAACAGGCGCTCGCACAGTTCGGACACAGCCCTCACTTCCCTTTGTAGGACGACCGGGAACCCCTAAACTTCCCCACGGTGCTTTTTTGCCCGTCGTCGGGGCTGGGTCCCCCGAACGTGCGGGCCAAGGCTCAGCCGAGGTGTGGCGGAGCTCGCCGCACTCTCCGATTTCTCCGAAAGCAGCAAAATGCCTCCCCCGCCCTCCCACGGTAATCGGGTGCCCCCCCCAGGCCCCCGCGTGTCCCCAAACTGCGCCTCCCCCTTGGGCATCCAGTGACCACCAAGAAAGAGGCACCAAGGCAGCAAACGGAGATGCTCTCCGGTGGGTCTGTTGGTAAATAAAACCACCGGGGCCGGGAAGAAAGTTCCCGCGGAGAGCTGCGGGCTGGGGCGAGGGCAGCGGGAGGTGAACGGCGTCCCTCCTCCCTCACCTGCGCCGGAACAACGGGCCCCGCGCCCGCCCAGCCCGGCGCCTCCCGCAGGCCGCGCCTCCCGCAAGCTGCGCTGCTGGGGCTTGTTCCTCCTCATGGCTTTGCCCTGACGTAATTCAAACATGGCAACAGTTCGACTTCAAAGGCGAAGGCACAGACCTCCCAGACGCAGGCTCCGGGCCGCGGGGAACGGGCCGCGAGCTCGGGGCCACGCTCGCCCGGCCCCTCGGCCGGCGCAGCACCGGACGCTGGGGCTAAGGCACCGGGCCCCCGAGATGCTGCCTCCCTCGCCCGCCCGCAGCGCGGAAGCCCGCCGCCTCCCCGCGCACCAGCACGGCACCTCACACAAGTCGCTCCGCCAAAGTTTCCCCGCGAGGGGCTGACGGACAAAAGCCCCTCCTGAAGCTCGCCCGAACTTCGGGGGGCCGCCCCGCGCGGGCCTCCGCCCGCGGCCGCCCCGAGCGCCAGCGGGGCCCGCACGGGCACATGGAGCTCTTTGTTTTCTGTCCAGCCGGGCGCTGCCTACGCGCAGCATCAGGATGTCGGCTGTTTCCCTGCGGCCAGACACTGGACGACCACCCCGGGGAGCCTCCGGACCCCGCGCCCCCGAGTACGGAGCCCCGTCCCCCCGCCCTCCCCTCGGCTGCAGGCCCATTTCACGAAAGTTTTGTCCTGTCCTTGAAGAGAAACGCCCGGATCCCCCGCCCCGCACCGGCCGAGAGTTGGCTACTTTCACTCTGCTTTTTAAACTGGCAAGACGCCATCATCGGCAAATCACATTGTCCTGCCGGGCGGCCGGCCACGACAGCGGCCGCATCTCGCTGCGGACCTGGGGCTGGACACTCCGGCGAAAACCAGGTCGCAGCCCCAAGCACGTGGTCTGTCATGCTCGGCACAAAAAGCAGTGCCCTCCGGAGTTCTCTCACCCCCTGGGCGCAGACAACGCGGCTACCTCCATCCTCAAGTCAATAGGCTCCGACTGGCCATCTTAAGCCACGCACGGCCGCCCCAGAAAGCCCTCGCCGTGGAGCCTACAGCTACGCTACAGGTGAAGAGACTGCGAACTAAAGTTGAGACTCCACAGACACCTCCGACACCGGCGCTGCTTGGGCGCGGTCCGGAGGGGAAGAGGCATGTGGGAGCCAGGGCTGCTTCCCAGCGGCCGCGTGTTGCTCATTGTCGCGTCCGCATCCCTCAGGAGTTCGGCAAACAACGCCGCGCCGCGTGCACTCTGCAACCCCGGCGCCGACCCAAAGGCCGATTTAAAACCCCTCGCGCCCGCCAGTTCTCAACTACAAGGCAACTTAGTTTTGCAGCGAATGGCGTTTACGGTGCACCTTTCTCAAAACACGCGCAAGGGGCTGCGGTGAACTAAGCCACGAGGTTCGACCTGGGCTCCCGACCACTCCCGGGCGCGCGCTCACACGATGCACCGACCCGGGGCCCCTCCGCAACTGCCAGGGAGTCGTTTTCCTCTCGGGCCTTTCAGCCCTGGGCTCCTTTTCGCCCGAGAACGCTGCGGCTGACAAAAGTCATTGTCACCTTCAACGTGGATCCCTCAACTCCAGTGACTCCGCACTCATTTCCAGGCTCCACTCACTTTCCCCACCCCAAGACTTTCGGTTTGCCTAAAACCCCCTCCCCAATTAAAAAAGACACACTAAACCTGTGCATACAAAAGAATCTGGGTCTGAAGATCACGAAAACAGCGCTCCCCGCAATGCCATCTCCAAGACAAAACTTCCAGTGTGTGTGGGTGTGTGTGCACGGAAGGGCTGGGGGAGGTGGGTAAGGTGAAATGAGGGGGGGGAAAAAGCGACTCTGAAATCAAAGCTTAGTGAGACAGTTTTGCACCAGAGTAATGGTTAGTCACTCACCTTCCAAACACAGCCGTTCCACGCGCAATAACGTTCCCGAGGTGAGGAGTGCACACCAGGCGAACCCCCCCTCCAATCGCTCCCTCCTTCTCAACTGCCTTGTCTAGAAAGATTGTCTCCTGCAGTTCTGCAGTTGCTACCGCTGGCCGGGAAGGTGTAGATTCCGCTTTCTCTCTGCGCACGCGCGGCTCCCGGTACAAAATTCTCCTGAATCGAACTCATTTGCATACGGGCGCGCGCGCGTCGAGGGCGGAGTGGAGAGAAGGCCCAGAGGCCGCGCGCGCTCCCGGGGCCTCTATTGTCCTTTTAAGGGGAGAAGCGCCGCGACGCGGGAAACGCGGCGGCCAGAGGGAAACAGGGGCGGGGATTGCTTACTACGGCTTACGTCACATAAACAAACGCCTCCTGGATGGAGGCGGCGGCGAAGGGGGCGTTGCGGGATGGGAAAGGCGGAAAGGTTAGCCATCCAGCGAGAACACTAGGCTGTGTGACGTGCTTTTCATCCTGAAGTTCTTAGGGCGCAAAAATGTTTCGCGTTGAAAATTGTCTTCAAAGCTGTATTTGCAATATTTTCACACCTGTGCCCAGTTTCTGGCCCGAGGTGACAGAGGAGGTGGTCTTGCAAGCACCCAGACTGAATTTACACGTCTCCTACGTTTACTAAATTGTGTTTGAACTTAGATTTTTGAAGCTTTTTTTTTAATCCTCTGGAGTCAGCAGAGATTTATTTTTCTAGCAGTTTTAATGAGTCGTTTAATAAAGTCCCATATGACATTCTATCCATTCACTAACTCCCGCCTGCCCTCCTCAAATGGTAACACAACCCATAAGAATCCAATTTTTTTATCTCCACTTCGGCCTTAGGATTGTAGCCTGTTTGAGTTGAAGCGTTGTTAATTTCCGTGGGACCAGTGTCACTTTCCTGAAAGACTAATCAGTGGAAAGCCAGTGATCTAGGGCTGTGCATACCTCCTCCAGATGCTTGTAAAGGGTGTTTCACTCATCCAGAAATAATACCACTAACTGGTGGTCTTGGGAATCGAAAAAGCAGCCAGTGAAGTGCAGACTTTCCCTTATGGAATATATAAATAAACCAACTATCTAAACGCTTCTTGCCCTGGGAGGGGAAAAAAATGAAAAACTGTAGCAATTTTTCTCAGATTGGTAAGTGAAAAATGAAAAACAGAATGACTGTGATACACCTTTATTACAAGAACACACCTAACACCAACAGGCTGAGAGGCTGATTTAATGATACAGGGAGGGTGGGGTGAGAGGAAGGATGTTTTCCAAAGAAACTTGATATTGGTCCCAAGCTACAAAAGTGTGGACATCAACCATAAAACTTAATCATCTGCTGACAAGTTTCACTGCTTTCACGGTAGTGTCAACAATATGGATTTAAATAGATATTTCTGAAAACGCTACTTCAATTCAACAGCCAATACCTAGTATAGACAAGACAAACCCACTTCTGAAGTCTTCAGCTAATGCTTCTTCTCTTTAGGTTCTGTAACATACTATTTCTATAACTGTATGTGAAAACTCTATATTAAATACCTGTGAAGGAGAAAAATCTGACACCTCTCACTAAAATGCAAGCTCCTGAAGGGCAAAACTTTTATATTGTATTCATTTTTTTTTTTGTATTCTAGTGCTTACATGGTGCACATCAGATAATAAACTCTGAAGAATTGCTTATAAAATGGACATTTTCAAATTTACTATACAAGTTTATCTCAGTCCAAAGCAAATTTAGTTTAGAATTTTTGTACTTAACCTAAAATGAGTTTGGAAGTTATAGTACTCACCTCAATTGATATGATGCCTTATAATAATTAATAAAACAGAATAAATGTAATAACTTTCTGGGCTTTCATTGGTGGCAAACTGGACCCTGAGCATAAACTCCTAACTTCTTTTTTAAGAGAATTTTAAACAGTTGTCTTGGATTGTCTCAAGTACTTATTTGGTTTATGACAGATCCTCCAAAAGTAATTTCAAATTAGTATGTACTTTTGAAAGTATGAAAATTGCAAGTATTTTTAAACTATAATTGTTGCTTATAGGATATACCTATATATTTTATATAAATATAAAAATTATATATTTATATAAATATTAAAATGTACCTTGAAAGCCTTTTCCCTTGAAAGTTTATGTAAAGAATATAAATATTTATGTAAAGTTTATGTAAAGAATGGTAATTCAGGGATGGAATAGGTTCAAATGTGTGAGAGGTGCAGGGATTACAGTACTTAGGATATACTGTTCAGATAAGAAAGTACCTGGAAACTTCAGAACTACTGAGTTAACACATCACACAGCAAGACTTCCTCTGCTCTCAAAGTAGAGATCAAGAAGTAATCTGGGTAATTTTTGTAGAAAACGTAGCAACAAAATCCTTAAGGAGAAATTTGAGTTCCTCAGTCTTTTTTTTTTTTTAACCACCTGCTAGTTTTTGAACAGCCAGATGGGTTCCAAAGTTTCTTCTGCTCATTTTGTTGCTTGAACACATTGTTATGGCTGGCTCTATACAGGGCCAATAGCTCATTTATAGGCTACTTGAAAATATCATTACCTAAAGAGCCCAAGTGATTTTTTCATTGGAAAGGAGGGGAGGGAGGAAGGAAGGAATTTATAATATAATTTGGATTATAGGAGATCGAATTATACCATGTTGGAAAAGTATTTGAGTATTTTTAGTGACTATAGTTTTACTCACTGCGTTCTCAAAATATTGAAATAGAAAATATAGTAAAAATTGAAATTGAAATTGAATATAAGTTGCCACATACAGTGGTTAAGCCAACTACTTTGTTTATAACATGTTGTCCTTGCTGTAGAATTATCCCTAATACTTGAATGTTTTCATTCACTTAGCAAACAGTTAATGATCATAACTATGACCAGATAGTAAAACCATTTCAGAAGAGGTTCAAGCCCTGCCAAGATGCCCCCACCTTTTCTAATTTATTTGTATATAATTTTATTTTATTTGCTACTTTTCTTCTGTAGCATTTATTGCTTTCTTTTGAGACTTGACTACTGTCAGCAACTTTACAACATACTATAATATTTTTGAAATTGGGAATAAATTATACATAAGGTACTGAAAAGGACAATTTTTGCTTGGTAATGAAGGTTATTATCAGCAATTTAGAAATATTTGCAATAACAACTCAAACTAATAGTTGTTTTATAAATGAAGGCTGATACCCTCATCAGAGGCTAGCACCAACCACATCAAAACATTTTTTTTGAGCCCAGGAAAGATCTGATTATTATTATTAAACATTGGGTTTGGTTCCTTAGCAGGGAACAGTTATAAAACTAAACCCTTTCCTCACACCGAAACAAGCACAGTATTTTATTACTTATTTGTTTAAATCCTTCTGAAGTTCACTTAGCAAGTGGTCAGAGAGAGTGAGATAATTTTAAGCTATAAGGTATAGAACTGGTTATGTGATCTAAAGCAATCCTCCAACAACCGTTGACAGCTGCCAGAAAATGGTATCTATTACTTCATCAGAATTATCTTTTAAAATTTCTGAATTTAAAGACATAAAGAATGGTCACGAACTTATTCTCAGAAAAAGTAAACTCTGGTTTTTTAAGAAATAAGCTTTTTACTACTATCTTATGACATTTGAATAGGATACTTAGAAAAAGTAAAATTACTGATAACAAAAGTAATTTTATTTTAAGAAGGACATTGACAAACTAGAATGAGTTCACAGGAGAGTAAATCAGAATGATGAAAGAAGCTAGAAACCACAACATAAAAGCAATAATTAAAGAAGGGGCTGTGTTTTGATTGAGCAAGAGAGCAGTCTTTGACTATCTGAAGGACCATCATTAGGAGAATGAATGGGCTTGTTCTTTTTTATGCTAAGAAGCCAAATTAGTCTTGAAAATCACGAGAATGTAGATTCTTGCTAAACACCAGAAAAATGTCTAAAAATTACAAACAGTCCAAGGATGATTCAGGATACTTCAGAAGGCAACTTCACATCACTAATGATGATATTCACAAAACTAAACCCAAGAATTTTATTTTAATGAATTACATCATTTACAATATAAAGCTTGTACCTCTAAATTCCCATTGAATGCTACGAATCTGTGATTCCAAGGGATAAATGGATGGTAAATAACAAATGTCTCAAATTCAGAAGAAGGATTTATACCTGTGGCTGGAGAGGTTAGAACTATCTTTTTAAAAAGGAT